ACACCACCCCCACCCCACCCCACCCCTCCCCACCCCTCCACCACCCCCACCACCCAAAAAAGCATGTCTACCGTCCCATTCAACGAAATATAATTATATACTTTTTCCAGTGTCCGCCCCCTCCCAGAAAATTCTACCCCCGCCCCCGAAAATTTCAAGTACCCCCACCCCTCTCCGGGGAGGAAAAAGTCTGAAAGAAACACTGAAACCAACCCACCCCCCCACACACCACCCCCCCACCCCCACACACCCCCCCACCCCTCCACACCCCCCCCCCCCAAAAAAAACATGTCTACCGTCCCATTGCAAGAAAACCACTTTTTAGATTAGACACATTAATTAGGCGGTAATTTTATTATAGAGTATCGATGAGGAAATTTCTTTTGAGTTGGGGAGGGGGGGGGGGCTCAGACGTTCTTACGCGGGGGGTGGGGCTTCGCCCCTACCCGAAGAATTGTATGCAAGAAAATCTTCACGCAAACCATTTAGATTAGACAACATTTCCTTTTTTTCAATGTAGAACCAATGACGTCATTACATTACTGTGTGCACTCTCTGGTTTGAGATTATGTTCTACTCTACGCTAAATGTGTCGACGTCATATTTCGTTTTTCGAATTACTGTGCATGTTTTTATTTTGCTTGTGTTTTCTCTAGAGCGTTCTTGTCAGACAGAGCGTTCTTGTCAGACAGAGCGTTCTTGACAGACAGCGAAACTATTATATAGAATTCACCTCACACCCCCTTCCTGCTGCATCCCCTTCCATCTCATAACAGGTAGAGAGAAAAAAGTTTGATCCGTTAACAACCCTCTACAGGTTAAACTTTTTACAAAAAAATCCAACCTTGTATGTTGTGTGACTTTGCCCTCTGCCCATCATAGCAGATAGAAAGAAAAAAGTTTGATCCGTTAACAACCCTCTACAGGTTAAACTTTTTAAAAAATAAATCCAACCTTGTATGTTGTGTGACTTTGCCCTTTGCCCATCATAGCAGATAGAGAGAAAAGTTTGATCCGTTAACAACTCTCTACAGGTTAAACTTTTTAAAAAAAATCCAACCTTGTATGTTGTGTGACTTTGCCCTCTGCCCATCATAGCAGATAGAAAGAAAAGTTTGATCCGTTAACAACTCTCTACAGGTTAAACTTTTTTTAAAAAATCCAACCTTGTATGTTGTGTGACTTTGCCCTCTGCCCATCTTATTGCCCTAGATAAGCCCACCCTGGAAGCCTGACGTGGAGAACGAGTGGGACACCAAGTACATCCCCGAGGAGTTTGCCCAAGAGTCCGTCCTCTTCACCCCCGGCTCCCACGTTATGGGCAACAGGCTGGAGTCTATATCTGAAGACGGACAGCTGCCCTACTTTGACGAGTTCTCCTATCAGGGAAGTAGAAACAGCTACGGGCACCCCAGTTACCTGAGCGCGTCTGCTGCAGCGCATGGCCCAACAGAAATGTTCTAGGAGATACACAGCCAATGTAATAATATATTAAAGATACCTCTTATGTGTACAAAAACTTAGCTAGCAGTTTAATTAATGCATCCATGGTTTAAATTCATCATCACTTTTTAAACTAATTTAGACATTAAATTATATTACAGTATTAATTTAATAATAAGAATTGCAACTTACAATTTTGTTTTGTCTCCCAGTTCAGGTTTAGATAACTTAAAACAGTTGAAAGATAAAGAATGTACATTATATATAGATGTAAAAGTCAATTTCCCATATAATAGCAATAATAAAATTAATAACACGATGTTCTCAACTTGGATGTTGATACCCAAACACCTTTAGTCAAATTGTTAATATATTTGTATAAATGTAAGATACATGTACAATAACTTTGATAGTTTGAGTCAGAGCTGAAAGGAGTCGCCTTAAACTGAATCAAACTTTACACTTGTTTCTAGCTATATCTCCAGTTTGTACCAGTTGTATTGGGTGAGCTCAGCTTATTTATATAATCCTTGGTGGTTTTTATTCCCATAGCTGGAATGGTGAACCTATTGAAATTTATATGGTACTAGACTATGAATATTAATGGTCTGTATGCTAAATGGTATCGTAATCATAGTGATGAATGCTGAATATATTCCTACTTGGGGTAGACTTGTGAATATGTAGACTTGTACAGTGATGTTAGGTCTACATGGTAGATCTGATTGGCTGCTGCTTTAATTAGAGGTAAGCTAATTATATGTATTATGTATAAATATGTATACATACAAAAATTCCTGGATTGAACATGTGTGTTATATGCCCTGCAGATCCTAGGTTTTACTAAAGGCACTGTTTTACTGTATGGAAATGTTGCAGAGAGGTGATGTGAACTTGTTTCTTGGCCAGGTTAGATAACTCAGTATAAACTACAAGTTATCCAACTTGGCACACCAAGCTAGGCTTAACATGTCTTTGCTGAACAGAGGTGCCTCACACAAAGTGGAAAGTTTATGTGATGAAAATAATTTATATTGTCCTTCAGATTTTCACAAATTATTTTCACACTTTTATGTATTGTTTAACAGTAATGTATGTAAAAAAAAATAACTTATTCATCAGCACACATTGTTTTATTAAATGTTTATTATTAATTTGGTTGCATGTATGTACCACAATATAATGGACTTTAATTTCTTTCAACACTGATTGATAAGGATTCATATTGGTGGCAGATCTATAATCTCTGGCACTAATTACCTATACACCGCAAGCATAGCTTAAAAAATGTATCTGTTCATATTTTTTGTTTACAATAGAAGTTATTCTAAAATGAATAAGAATGTATTAGAATGTAATAAAATGATCTTTATCTCCAAGATAGCTTTTACACAGACATTTAATGTTTTATTTGGATGTATTTTAGATTGTAATTTTTTATTTTTATCTTTTAAGCTTGCAACAGTGAGTTGTAATTTTCAGCTTTTAGGCTTAAAACTGTGGGTTTAGCCCATATAATATCAACAAGTTTAGAAGCCCATTTAGTGTTGTTTGCTTACATTGTATTGAGTACTTGTACATGAGGCTTGAAAACACTTGTCAGGGTACTGACTAGTGATGTTTGTATAGAAAGTTAATGTAAGGCTTTTATAAACTTATCAGTTTATAATTTATTCATAGTTTCTAAAAACATTATTTGTCTATTATCAGTTCAATTATATTTTTATCGACTACAAAATAAATATTTGAGCTAGACATATTTGCCTTGAATAAACATGAGAGGCAAAGATTTCAAAATCACTTTGTATAGCCCGGTTATTCTCCACTTCAAGTTGTTCATAAATCTGTTGACATTTCTCTAAAGCAGCTTTGCGCTAGGATCAACTTATAGTAGTTATTGTTTAAAGATCAACTTATTCTTACAAGCCCAGGAATTTCTACTCTTGGAAGCAAAAGGCACATATAACTATAATTGTTTAATTAATTAAGTCTCTGCTGTTGACCTCTAATTTGAGCTGAAACAATATTGAACCACATAATTAGCTTGTCACTGTAAATGACACCTGGAGATGTTTTTCATGTTGGTCTTGTTACCTATTGTGAAGAGTGTATGTACCAGTAGGCTTGTTTTCACTTGAAAATTTTGTACAGTGTTGCATTAAAACATTATATAATATACGTTTTTTTGGGTGAATAATTTCTGTTTTCATTAACTGTTAAGTACATTCAGCAGATGGTCTAGATCTAGAGCACTTGTTCTAAACCCAAAAGGACATAATTTGAATCTTGACAAGTTAACATTTCTGGGTTGCTAGTAGTCTTTAATCTAGACAGGAAAATTAAAGTTCTAGACTTGAACTGATGTATGTGATTTATGTAAAGTTCCCCTTGACTTAATGATCCAAAGGGCAGAATTGTTTCTTGACCCCAGCATTGGCATAGGGGACTGGTCCCCACTATACCCATCATCCTTTACTTTCCCTAATGTGAGTCAAGTACCCATCAGAGCTGGGTGAACTAGGACACAAAGTACAAACACGAGTCCATGATTTGAACTCGTGACTATTGACTATTGGGGTTAGCAGTGCTATCTGGCTTGATCACACTGTCCCCCTAAGTGATTTAACCTCAGATGTAACTGTGAGGTGAAAGTTTTTAGAATAAGCTATAACTAAAATATATGTGACAGAAATTGTATACAAAATTCTAATTCCAATGAGTTTTTGTAGAAGTGTACATTTTTTACCACTTCTGATCACCCAAAATAGCTCAAAACTGATATATGAAAGACAGATACCTTTCATACAGACAGAAGATTGCAAAACTAGATTTCCCCCCCTCAAGGTATAATAATTACTTTAATAGAAGTAACATTTCAAATGTTGTAAAAATCTTGATTTTCCTTTTTTTTTCCAGTTAGAATATGAGAAAGTAAACAGCCAATCAGTGGGCAGAAATGTCCAGGCCAAAAATATGTACAAGGCCAGTCATATTGTACTGTCACCGAAGATATATATATATATATATATATATAAATATATATAACTTTGGTAAATCCCACAAGCTCTATTCAAAAACTTCACTCTCCCTAAGAGTCAAGTACCCTTCAGCCTGGTGGACTCCTGGTAGACCAGGGATACGGACTGTTAGCAGTCAAACACTTGTGAAGTTTTCTGATTTTAAGGCTGATCAAAACCTTTTGATAGCTGTTTAATATAATGTGTTTGAAATATCAACTTTGAAACAACATGAGTGGAAAAAAATTGCAATTTAAATCAACATTGGCATACATGATCATCAGCTCTCTGACTGCCCATACCAGCATTAGACCATTTAGTTTTTAATGGAAAAGTAAACATGAATCAAATTAGGTGTTCTTTACAAATTTGTGTTAACAATTTTGCATTATTATTCACACTTGACAAATCAAGTCCACTTTGACCCAGATTCACATCTTTTCTAAAAATAAATGTTGAATCCTTGTATTACTTTTTAAACTCCTTACCATACTACCCATTTTTATACAAAACCGGTAATAAAAATAACACAACAGCTGAGACTTTGGTAAATAAAAATGATTTAATGGTAGTTAATTATAATACAAAATTAGTGAACTCCCCACTCCCTTCTTCAGTCTTATTTAACCTCAGCTAATTACACATGCCCAAGGGAAGATAACTGTTCATAAAATGCACGAAACTTAATTTAAAATAGCCTTAAGTTTAAAAAAAAAAAAAACCCAGACACTAGGGCAATCCCTCCTAAAACTTAAAACATTACCAGCTGGAGTAAATAAGACTGAGGCCTGAGTGAGATCCCCAGATGGAAATTTACACGTTGGTCTAGATTCACACAAAGCATTCACAGCAGCCCAGCTTTTGATCCATAGGAAACATGTGCAACAAACACCAGCTGACACACCAGGATCAGTCCACAACTTCCTCCACGACAACCCCGTCTGAAACATGTTCTGCACCTCCGCCAGCGCCAGCCATGGCAAGTCTCTGTAAAGTATAAAACAAATGATTTTATAAGCTTTTATTTAGTTTGCGACGTCTGTGGATTTGTGACAAATCATGTTGCTCAATTTTAATTTTGACCAACTTATAATGCAGCAATCTCATTCAAATTTTCCAGATACCTTCGTCTTCGATGACAAGGCATGAAATTTTTTATTTAATTAGATGTTTTGAAACTAAGGGGACATAAACAAGATTAAATGCTAGCGTTTTAAAGAAAATATTTTTAGTTGTGTCGACTTCATAAATTAAGAATCACTAAAAAGTAGAAAATAAAACAATTAAAAATAAAGCGAATTTGCTATCTTTATTAATAAAAGCTTTGGTAAGAGATCTTTTACATATTTTAGCGACAAAAGCTTTTATAAAGGAAAGCAAATTTGCTTTATTTTCCTTTTTTCCGTACATTGAAAAGCTTCTTGCTATAAAAAAATTTGTATCACTGTTTTTGACTACACTACAAGTATTTGACTTCTTATTCATTTATGTAATGTTTGTATTATGTCCCCTGTCCATCCAGCTCTAATGGGTACCTAATTCAAGTTGGCTAAAAGTAAATGGCAACTTGGCCACAATCCCTTTGTATGCCAAGTTTGAAGAAACAGATGAATTCTAACAGAATGTCAAGCCTAACATAGTAAATGCAAGCCGATAAAATCCATAACAAATTTTCTTTGTAAAATTTATGTAAAACAATAACGAAGCAGTTAGATTAAAAAAAAACATTTTAAATTGTTACGCTGGTACTGTACTGTCATCCATATCTTCAACGAGTGAGTACCCTTTAAGACAATTAATTGCCTCACACCATTGACCACCCATTGTCTGAGCAGTAGAAAAAGTTCAACACAAAGATGAGAAGCAACTTACCGCCCCAACAGATGGCAGCTTCTGTACCAACAAGGCAAACACCTGTGGTGGCAAAGTTTGCTGAAGAACCTGCAACAGCTGCTGTGGCTGGCCACAAACAGCTACAGCATTGCTCAAATGCTCCACACCTTCCTCAATATCACCTGCAATTTCAAATTAAACTATTATATTCCACGACATGCTAAATTATATTTTATACTATACAAAAAAAACTGTTATAAAAAGATGATAAATGACTGGCACATTATTAAAATTTAATTTGACATAAAATTAGATTGAAAATGACAATGACCATTAATTAAGAGACTGATTCTTACCAAGGTTGATACCCAAGTAAAATTGAATCTGGTGTATATGTCCAATCACCAAACAGGTTGATTTTACTTTATGTCATAGGAATAATGTTTTGTGTGGCAATAGGAAGCTCCCACATCACAAGTAAATGAATAAAACTACAACAATGGCTACCCACCAACAGCAAGGAGCTCTTCTCCTTTCTGGACTTCTTGTAAGAAAAATCTCTGCATAGCCTCAGGATTTGATAGGTCTGGCAGCTACAGAAATTATACAAGAACCCTCAGTTTAAGCTGTCATATTTTAAACAAGGGAAATATAGTACCTAACTGATACAGCATTGGCAAAATTAGTTGGTCCAGATTTTTTAAATTGTTCTTAAAATTTTTTATAACTTAAAGGTTAACAGTATATTGTAAATAAAAGGCAGCATTAAAAAAAAATCTCTCTCTGTATGTGTATATGTATATGTATATATATATATATATATATATATATATATATATATATATATATATATATATATATATATATATATATGTGTGTGTGTGTGTGTGTATATATGAATAACATTTTTTAACAATAGAAAACATTTAAACAATTTCTCTTGTTTCTTTTTTTAATTAAAAAATTTCTAAAAATGTATTTACAAACTTTTTAAATGATTGAAAAATAATGCAAACTCTTTAATTTTACTCACTCTAGTTCCTCCACTGACAGACTTCTGCTGTTTTGCCTGTTTTCTTTCTGAAATTATTAGTAACAAATAAGTTAACTAATTAGCTTGCATACAAATTTAACTTAAAATTTTAAATATATGTATACATTTCTACAAAAACAGATAACGCAAAGAGTGCAAGCTCCTGTTCATGATTTCAATCTAATTTCTGTTTTGAGATGATGAAAACACTGTTAGTCTCTTTAAATCACATTATAATTAAATGCAAGACTATAAATAAATGGATTATCTGCCTTTCTTAAGTTTCTATAAAAGAAAAATCTGAGCTATTACAGCCTTTAATTAAGAAAAACATTTTTGTGTGGAGTTTGAGTCCCTCTTTTACAGCCATTTAACACAGCACTATTTAGACCCTATTTGACTAGTATTCCATTTTTAGAACTTAATACTTCTCAAAATATGGAATGATTGACAAATACATAACATCTTGATTTACCTCAAATATAAAACAAAAATGTATTTCCATCAATTGTGAAAGTAATAATAAAAAGTATTAATGTGGGTTTCTACTAGAAATATCCATGAATTTACATTGGTACTTGTTGAACCTAGACTAACATAATTAACACCAACACAAACCCCCCTTAAACTGCTGATACATTTTTACATTCATGCTTTCTTATGAAATAAACTGGGAGTGATCTCCCCTAAACTTTCTCGAATATTCTTATGTAACACTACGGGGATGGAGACTCAGGATATAGACAATATTTTAAATCCATTTTTAATTACTTTAACTTTTTATAATAGAATAGAATCTCGTAGAAAAAAGAATTGCACACCAAATGAACGCCAAACAAAATGTGCATAATAGTGTAGGATATTATTAGTACTTTATAAATTCACATGCGTTTTTTTGAGAAATCTGAAATAGCGTAAATTACTACTTCCGGTCAACGGAAATTACTCAAAATTTGATAGAAGGCAGATAATTATATCTTTAACTTATATGTGAAATTTCATTTATCTATCTGAAATAGTACTCAAGTTATAGGCTTTTGAAAAATTGAAAGTAGAAAAAATTCCACTTCCGGTTATTGGAAATCGCTGAAAAGTTCATACAGAACAACAAATTTGATATAATAATTATATATGAAATTTCATTAACCTAGCTGTAACGGTACTCAAGTTATCGTGTTAACAGACACACATACATACACACACAGACAAGATTGCAAAATGTTTTACCGACTCAGGGAGGTGTAAAACGACTAGATTTGCAAAAAACTTGATTTTTTTTTTACGATTACAATACTTTCTATATATCTACTACGTATACACGAGAAAGTAAAAATGATTAAATGGGGGTGGTCAAATGGTAGGACATTTGGCTGCTAGCTCAAAGGTTTCAAGTTTGGATCACGGTTTGAACTAGTGACTGCAGGACATTCTTGAGTCTACTCAGCTCTGATGGGTACTTGACTGACAATAGGGAAAAAGGCAGCTGGGCCTAGTGCTAATCATATTATCCCTTCATATGCCAAAGTCATTGAAAGTGATGAACTCTACTTCATCTGCCCATGTGTCTTGGGCACAAACAGGAAAAGATGACGAATGAAAGAGATTGCTGGCTGTGCGTTACTAATACTAGATCTATAGGCTAAGTATTCACGGGGTCAATCTAAAAATGTTCAAGACAGGCTAAAGTGTAAGTTTATTTAAATCTAGATCTAGTCTACTTATTTTGTAACTTCACCTTTGAATTTCATCAGTCCAAAAAAAGGATACAAAAAAAAATGGGTAGGCCTAGATATTCTAGATGTCTACTTTAACTTTCCATTAGTTATTAGTTAGGGCTAAAGCTAAAAATAATGAATCTACTTTTGATTCCCCTATGTTCTATCTGTCCAATCAATTAAATGTCAATTAAAGATTATTCTAGATCTAGAATCTAGCCGGATTCTAGTCCAGCTACTGACTGATGATTGTGTGACTTACTTTCTTTCAACTTGTTCTTGAATTCCGGATCACTCCTTCTTTTGCGGTCAAAATAAAAACAATAGCCAATAAAACATATTCCAGCACTTGCAGCGGCAATCCCAAGAGTAGTTTTTGATAGCATTTTTTAAAATGTGTGCTGTTTTAATTTATGTAATGCACATTAGTACATTAAGTTAATGTTAAAAACAACCTGGTCTTGCTGACCGCTGTTAAAAAGGAAGTTCTGTAACTCTCTTGTGTAGGAAAATAAATAGGACTCTAGACTAGAGTAGATGGTAGGCCTAGGGGGCCTAACTAAAACTTATTTCGATTTTTATGTAAGAGTAACTTAACTTATTGTATTACTGTAAGTCTGTATGAGTGTAGATCTATGTCGTCTCTATTCTGTACTATTGAAGAATCTAAGACTTAGGGCTTGGCTTAGGTAGTTACTAGTTAGGGCCTAATACTATACTAATTTATAAATTTAATAAAGTAATAATTTTAAATTTTTAGTTCATTCTAGATCTAGATTCTAGAAACTAGGGTAAAATCTTAGTTTAGCGTCGTAAATTCGGCCAAAACTAATGTAGGAGAGAGTGAATTAATGAATATGTCATTAAATATGAGTATATTTTCGTATATTTTGATAAAATATTATAAATAATTGAATAATAGATCACCATTTATGGTTAAATCAATTTAAATATCCTGAAATTAATTTTTACCAACCCTGTTCGAGATAGTAAATTTGTTATTAAAAACAGCAGCCATCTTAAGAAATTGTTATTTAGAGTAGCTTCCCTTTTATTTCTATTCGTATGAAAATGTATTTAATATGATTGTCTTGTTGTATAGTCCGTATTACAAAGCATTTTTATAAATTCTGCTCTTTAAAAACTGAATTTCCTAACAAACAACTTTATTAATTCTAGAAGCATTGTGAGATGCAACTTGTATTCATGTATTAAATCACGTTTTTTTTTTTTTACTAATGTTAATTTGATCTTACTATTACTATATAGTTTGAGTTTTTTCTTATTGTTTGAATGTTCACTATTTTCATTTCAGGTTTTTCTTTTCATTAATTAGTGATTCTATCGTAACTTATAACATTTTTTGCTTCTCTTTACCTTAATTAAACCCCAAACTCCGTCATATTTTTGTTGTCAATGTCACAAGTCATAATGTAAAAAAATTACGCTTCACTCTGCCTTATCTAAGATCTCTAACCATAATTTTGACAACATTAAATGTTTGTCATCATTTATATATACAGAGAGACAAAATGTATTATCCACCAGCTTCCCTCATAAAACATCATCTAAAACAATGAGCCAGTCCACCCCTTAAGTGCGTGTTGTCATTATGGTCGATCGCAAGTCTCCACCTGCCAGACACATGTTGGTTATCCTTTGTTGTCAAATTGTCAATATCAAGTACACAAGTGAGTGATATGGGGTTGTCCATAAATGATGTCACATATGATTTGCTACGGGAGTGAGTGAAGATTTGTGACGTCAACTCAGGCGGCTTTGCAATTTATGACGTGTCGGTCTCATGAAAGGAGGTGAACGGGGAAAAATACCTAGGTGGTTGATGGAGAACCTCTATAATGCTTTGTTCAATCAAAATAACGATAAATAAGCATTAGTATACGTATACCTTGCTTAAAACGAATCATCACAAATGTTGCAAGCCTGCTAGTTTAAGACATTCGGCAAAACGGCCGCAACACATTATCCCCGTCAAAAAGGCTTGCCACCAAATGCCTGCCGACGAATAAGCGTTAGGAATACGGCCATTAGCATGGGCCGCGTTAGTAGAGCACCAGTAGGCTATCGCGCTTTGTAAGATGACGTAAATACTTAAATTCAATTTCGCTAAACTGCGCGAAAATTTAGTAATGTTCCATCGTTTGAAGAAATTTATTTTCTTGGACTTAAATTGAAATATCATGTTGACTGTCTGGCTCTTAATTTCCGAATATCACTTTTAATGTATCAAGATTCAGAACTATAATTTACTTTAATATAAGTGTCATCTTATCGTTTATTGTGCTTTTTATAAAGCGCAGAGCAGCTACAAAATCGGGCGGCCATCCTGTTTTCACCAAGCTTCTTTTGGAGCTTAATATGGGTAGTCTAGTTCTAATATACGGTGTGAGCTTAATACATTTTTAAAGGGCCGAAAGTCTCAAGACAGCAAGCTTGCAGAAATAACTACGTACGTATGGACGAGTGATAGATGTGTTAGGGGCTGTTTAATGAACACCTACTTATGTAATCATATTAAACGTCGCAAAAGCGTAAAAAAGGCAGTGCTTGTTGTTGTTTTTTTTCTATAAAATTAGCCTAACGGTCGGCGGTACCGCTACATGACGTCACGTGCGAGCGTTAACTCGGTGACGATCTGCTAAGTGGGGGAATGAAAAAGGTGGGGTTCAAGAAATGCGACTCGGCAAGCTTTTTAGATTTCTTGACCCTTCTTAATAGTTCTTTCGCCCCCACTGAGAAAATGGATCACCAATGAATGACGCGTCATACTTCTACAGCTGGTCTTTCTCCCACAACCATCCCGTTTTCACGAAAAAAGAAAACCTGACCCGTCTCCAAAATCACATCGCTGAGTTCTACTCAACCTCTCCCCACCACAAATCACAATTTCTATCTGAAACGATATGTTCATATGTTTGCTCTGTAATAATGCACGCTATCATTACTATCTTAAGAGCGACGTCATTTATGAGCGATCTAATATTGATTTGCTTACTGCAAATAAAGTGTTCAAAACTTCGACCTCCCAACAATTGTTGTGGTCTTGGATGCACACTATTAAGTCTGATAAGATCTATTAGTCATTCATGTCAACTATATTAAAAAAAAAAATTACTATACATGGGTCATCCATAAATGATGTCACGCTTTTTTTGACAATTTTTACCTCCCCCCCCCCTCCCCTCCGTCACAAAAAGCCAGACCCCCTCCCCTAAAATGACGTCACACCTCAGCCTACAACCCCCCTCAAAATTGCAGGTGAATTGTTTTTAAACAGCTATATTTTTCCAAAATCTTGTCTGAACTCTGTCAAAATAGATTATTTACTCAATTGTTATTAAAATGTATTAAAACAGTTTTTAAAACGCAAAATAACGTCTATAATTCGTTTTGTAACATTGCTTTTTTAAAATGCAATGTGTGACGCCGCACCATCTGAACCCCTCCCCCTCCCACTCATCACACAACGTCACAAAAATACGGACCCCCCTCCCCCCCGGCATATATTAAAACAATACAAAACAATCATATTAAACCACAAAATCAACACAAAAGACATGCGAATAGACAATTTATTGTTTTTGAAACATGGCCGCTGCTTGTATTTACTCATTGTTGTCTCGAACGGGGTAGTTTAAAGTTTATTCCAGGATATTTATGACTGGTTTGGTCTTGGATTGTGATTTGTTATTCAATTATCTGTTATATTGTGTAAAATATGACATAAATATGGCCAAATGAAAGAAATATTCATTAGTTACCTTCATCGCACATTACTAGCTACGTTGGAATTTACTACGCTAAACTAAGATTTTACCGAAACTAGCTCGTCTAGATTAATTTATAATAAATTAAATTTTAAATTACTTTAGTCTTAGTTTGTTTAGGCTTTAGGCCTGCCGCTATATTTAATATATTATACTATATACTATATAAATATATATAGATGATTAGATCTATAGTGATTCTATAGTTATAGGCCCTAAGATCTTTCATTATTTTTTTTTCATTATTTGACTACAATTTCTTTTTTTTTTTTTTACTTTATTATAGCCGTGTAGCACAGCAAGCAAGCGATTTAATTCAGTTTATAAATTAAATGGTGTAATTGTTGAAGCAAATTTCAAATTATGCAAGAATCACAATCATTGACAGAAAGTTCTCTCACTAAAAGCAAAGACAGTGAATGGACCAGACCTCAGGCAGTGGACACCATTAGCCCTCACACCCTAGGTCGCATCTCTGTAGTGTTGCTTCTAGACAGCCGATGTGGTGTTCTTGTTGCCAAGCAATGTATCCTTTCTGAGTTTTGATTTACACTGGTGTTGTTCATTTTTTGTTTAGGCCCTAAATGGACACCAGCGAGAAAAGTCTCAAAGGTATTTGAGAGGTGTATAAATTCATTTAAAAATCTTGCACGGCGTAGTTACAATTAATATGGTTATAAAATCCTGTCTGTCTGGTTTTTTTCGGACTTTACTAAAGATTGGATGTTTTTGATGTTTTCAATATTTTCGGTAACTAAATAAAAATTTAAAAAAAAAGCAAAAACAATTTGGTTTTCACGTGTAATGGCGACATAAACAATGGCTGCCATAAATTTTATTGTACACATTGTAAGCTAAAAATAGAAAAAATAGGTCATGGTGTTTAAATTTGCATAGTTATTTAAAAACTTGATCTGCAAAGTTTTGTAAACAAAATAACTATAAAGTGGGGCTGTCAGAAATCGATCACGGAGTTCCTTTACAGCCAATCAAAGTTTGTCTTACGAAAGTGAAACATCGGGTTATAACTTAGGCTTGATGAAAATAAATAGAAATGTAGCCTTAAACTCAACAAATTATTTTCAAGTTCTCTGGATCTGCAATTTGTATAGCATTGATTCTAAAAATATTACATTTCTGAATTAATTTTAGGCTTAAGTTTTTAATAAAATTTTATCTTTTATTAGTTTTATGGTCCTAAATCTAAAAAAGCACATTTTTATTCCATGTCAACAACATTAAGGAAGGAATCTCGTCAACTCGCTGGTGTCCATTACAGTTAAATAAAGATTACAACATAATTGCACAAATTTAATCTAATTTTTATAAAGTGTACGAATTGTTTTGATTTTTAAACATACATGACAAAAGTTGTTTTAAACTTATTTAGAAATTGTAGACACTCTGACTTTTTAACATCACTAATGTCAATTTTTTTTAATTTTTACATTAATTGCACCAAATTGTTAAGAATAGCATTCAACATACAGCTTTTTAATAAGATGTTTACTTAGTTACCAGATAAAATGGATAGGCCTAGTTATTTAAATTTATCTATTTAAGAAATTAATATTTAGATTTGTTATAACCTTAAATATCATTGTAGCTTTACAGAACATCCCCCACAGGAAGACTCAGGAGGTTTTTGCCAAGCACTTAAAATCTTTAGGTCACAAATCCCTGAACCCATACTTTGTAAGTTATGTTTGATGCTTAAATGAGGCTCTTTTCTATTAGTAGCCCTATATATTTAAAAAAAATGTAATAATAAAAACATAATGCAACTATTTGTTTTTATTCTTTTTCTCATAGAGAGATGAGGGCATTGACTTTTTCTATCTGGCAAAGAATGACATCTTTTTGGTAGCAGCCCACCCTTCACCTGAAGAGGATGTCCCAATATCTATAGTTGTATACTTAGACTTTCTGCAGAGGTAATCTCTAGCATTGAAGTTTAATTTTTTATTTCACACCTGCCAACTATTGCAAGTCAACAACTGATTCTAATCTTGTATTTGTTTTCCAGACTTTATGAAGTTCTAAAAGATTGTATTGGAACTGTTAATGAACCATACATCACAGTCAACAGAATGTTGATTTTTGAAATTTTGGATGAAATGTTGGTCAGTCATGTTTATAATGAAACTTTAAAAAAATATTATTGATTGTTGATGTTTTGTTATTTGTTTATATCACTGCAATAGACTGAACATTGGCGTTTTATGTTTCAGAATTTCGGCTACTGCTTTGTATCTTCTTATAATGAAATAAAACAAAACTTGACCTTTGAGCCCATCAGACCAAAGATTCCACAACAAGATGATCTTGCTTTAAGATTTGTGAGTCACTTAATACATTATTATGGGATGGTGGGGCATAGTGGTGGGGCTGTGTTGACCACACTATCCGTTCAAATCTGAGGTTACAGAAACAGGTGAAAGCTACTTCACTTGCCCCATGGACCTTCTGGTTTGAAGGGAAATTTACTTTAATACAATGTATTAATTGTTACTTATATCTCCTATCTGTCTCTAGCATAATTATTATAGTAAATAATACATTGTGTTGCTTATATCATTGGATTTTAACTTTTTGATTATATGGAAGCCATTTTATCACTGAACACATGCTCCAAATGTCTTCAATAAATTCTAGAATCAACTTATAACAATGAACCATTTCCATACAGTTTGGCATCAATGTCATGGATGGGTCAAGGGTTACCACTGGACCATCAGAAGTAAGTTTTTGATTAGGGTTTACAAAAACAATTCTTGAAATTATATTTTAACTACTATTCAATTATAGCTTTGGTCATAATTGAAATGTCATTGTTTTTGAGGAGTTAGTTAATTTCTTTAAAGTTGTGTTAATTTAATTTAATTGATTTCATTTAATGAGTTGTTTTTTCTTCTTGTTACAGCCCAAAAACAAAGCTCCCAATAGTGCTTACATTAACATAGTAGAAGGGCTGTCTGCAGTTTTTGATGCCAGTGTAAGTTGACTTTAAAGTCACTACTATTTCAATATCTATACATGTATCTATACATTTGTTCTCTAAGTATATCCAGGTCAGTTTATTTTTCTTTAAACTTACTGGTATTGTATAATTATCTCAATGAAATGGTTTATTTAATAACTTGTAGGCCTCTAAACGTCTGACAAAAAATGAGTAAAATTTATTTATTTTTGCCTTTTCCAGGGTGAGTTACGCAGCTCTGAGTTGTGGGGGAAACTTACTCTAATCAGCACTCTCCTGGTCCCAGCACCAATTACAATTGAGTTGAACTCTGACCTTGTGGTGAGAACCTCTGGCCTACCAGAGGGTCAAGGTTAAACTCTTTTTTTAAAAAGTTTAGTTATTTTTAAAAAAATTAGTTTTCTACATGTTGGATAAATTATTAAATGTACAGGTATAGCAAACATTTAATTTTATCTTTGTAATCCTTTAAGTATTATTTCAGATAATTAATATAAATTAATGTTTTGTTTCAGTTGCTGGTGCCACTCACATAGAAAATCCAAGTTTTCATTCTTGTGTTGATTCATCACAGTTGAATAGAAAGAAAGTTCTGCGAGTGTTACCTCCCCCTGATCAGGTTATTTTCTAAGCTCATTCTTTCTCTAAGCTGACCTGGCTATTTCAGTAACTTTGTTGTTTGGCAGTAATTGCTAAATGGGGTTTAATAAATTTGATCGCAAGTAAAAAAATTTGCCATTTTGGTATTTGAACAACAGATCTCTTTTCATCTGATTGCAGACACGTTTGATGGTATACACACTCTCAGACTCCGCCTGCATTCATATTCCACTTCTGGTCATTCCCTCACTGTTAGCCATTGACGGAAGCCGGTAAATTACCTCTTACCTTAAGAAAAAAATTATTTTATATTTTTGTTAAGTTTATACAAAGTTTCATTAGAATTTAAAGCACATGCAGCAAGAGTATCATAATTTGCACATAAAAACATTTTAAATTTTAGTATTTAAACATTTTTCCACTGAATGCTTAAACACAGATGGTATTAGCTTCGCATGGATTGGTTTTTTTTTTTTAAAAATACATTGTATATTTCCTTAAACAATGTAAAAGTATTACTGTTTGCAGTACCACAAAATAGTGTTTTCTAGCAAGAATAAATTTTTTTCAAGTACTTATTTAAAAAATAAATAATTTAATTAGAAAAAAAAATATTGGAATGAAAATGAAAAAATATATATCATAAAATAAAAAAAAAATAAAAAAGTTATGCTCTTATGTATTTGTTTTTTTAAACAGTGATCAAAATTTCTCACTACGCCTCAAAAACCAAGCAGAAAGTCACACAACAGCCTCTTATGTGCGGGTCAAGATAAAACTTCCAGCTTGTGTAAGCAGGTAATTCATTTAGTTATGTCTAGACATTGGCAGGGGAAATCACTCTTGTTCACAAATTATATGCAATAAAATTACTCATATTTTAAAAAAACAATTTAAGTCAGTTTTACCCAAAGATATTGGCCTAGTTGCCTTAAAACTTGCAATACAGTACACCATATTAATATCTAGTCAATTAAAAAAAAAACAGCCACGTTCACCTACATCCATTTTCATTGTAACTGAGGTAACAAAGTGATATTTATGTGTTGATGTCCATCACTGTTTGACAGTATCTCCACCACCAAATCAGGAGAGCGCCAGTCCAGTCAGTATCACAGCACTGAGAAGATAGCTGAATGGGAGATCAAAAAGTCCCCTGGTGGCACAGAAGAGAAAATCACATTCAGGGTAAATCATTGTTTTAAAAAAAACCATTCAATTCCATACAGTATAAACTCCACTTCACTTGCCCCCATGGACCATTAGGTTTGAAATGGGAACTTTTTTTAAAATTCTCTTTGTAATAAAAACTCTTTTTATATTGTTGTAGAGCTAAAAAAAAAATAGGACTGATAACTTATAAAATTTCTCCCTTATAAGTGGTTTATAGTGCACGTATAGCAGCAAGTTTCATTTTCACATAGTGGAGTCCATTTGTATGTGTGGTCACATGGTTGACTAAATAGTCACAAGTCTTACCTCTTGAAGTCTTTGTCCGATACTGTTATGTAAAAACTAACTGGGTTAATGGCATGCAACAATTATATGCTGACCCGATTTCACTTTTTAATAATGTTATTAAAATAGTCAGTCCTTTTTTTTTAAATGTATCAATCTATAGTTAATTATTATAAATACACACTCCTGACCCTTGCTTTTTTAATTGCTTGATTAAATTATCAATTTACAAAGACTTCAATTCACTATTTTTGTTTTCAGTTGATAAACAACACAGACCGAGCCATTAATTTAGCCGACATTGGACCCATCTCTGTAGCATTTAACATCACCAACTTCTCCGCCTCAGGCCTTGTGGTCAGGATGGCTCGGGTGGAAGGCCAGGCGGAGCCGATGAGCCAAACACCTGAATGTTACTTTGGTGTCTCCACCAAGTCTGCCTCGTACACCGTGAGAACAGACCTCACTAGAACAGTTACCTCCCCTGCTTCTAGCCTGGCTAGTTTTACAACATGAGAGGTGGGAGACGTCACGATCATGACATGCATCACTGTCTACAGATGACACATGACATTGTTATCAGATGACACATATCAGTGTCATCACACATCTTTTCAATAAATGCCACAACACAGTCACCAGATGACACACAGTATTGTTACTAGATATAACATGGCACTGTTGCTAGATGTCATTAGATGACACACAGTACTGTCATTAGATAACAACACTGTTGTTAGGTTACACACAAGTTAGTACAAAATTGGCATTAGATGATACACCTGTCTTTAGATGACACACACTACTTAAACTGGATGACATATGACAGCTGTCATTAAATGGTAACTTGATGCTAGAACTGTCTTTGAATGTCCCATTGGTGAATGGACATTTGTTATAATAGACAAATTATACAATACTTAAAAGCATGTGCAATACAAAATGTATGTAACTTTCATACAGAGATGTATTCATTTATTAAGATGTTGTCCTTATTGTTATCAATAAATGCATAAAAAACTAAACTCATAGTTGGTTTTACTTCTTTTATTGTCATTGTAATATTTAAGCAGTTAATTTTTTGTTAGTCAATTTAAAAAACATTTGGAGAGAAATGCTGTGATTTAGTGTTGGAAAGAAGTTTTGAGAAATCAGCCAATCACATTGTTTTTTTTTCTTTAAAAGCTGCATGCAAAGGAGAAATGGAAACCAACCAATCAACTCGCACACAGCTTTTCAAGAAAAAAACAAAGCAGCTTAGAGAAACCAACCAATTTAGAAACATCAATTTGCTTACATACAGCTTTTATTAGAGAATTCAACCAATCGGCTTGCTTCCACACCGCTTCTCAAGAAAAAAATAACTAAGTGTAAAGAAACCAACCAATCAGCTTGCTTGTATACACAACTAGTCTTTAGTTTTGCTGCAATAAATTTTGTATGTCAGCTTTTTTTTTGGTATTATTAAAATAATACAAAAAAACATTTTGTACCATACATGTAAAATAACAGAAAATAATGTGAAGAATGCAAGTCTTTACAGATGGAGAAGAATAACATTTATGGCAAGTCTGTTGTTAAACAATCCTTATTTTCAAATACATACAGTTATAACTACTTGATAAACAACATAGTTAATCAAATCTTTCTCTTTGAAATAATTTTTTTTTAAAAACATAGTAAATAATACAATAGTTACTTGGGAAGTGCACAAAAGCATAAATTAACAAACAGAAATTGAAAAAATAGGAGGGTAAATAGACAAGGAAGAAAAACAGTAAAGTTGTATCGAATTTCTAGTCCTCTCTACAGCTAATGGACGGTACATCAAACAGATCTAGATTAAATAAGTTCTATAACAAATCTTGAACTAAAAAAATAAATAAATTATCTGCCCTGGCATGTTTTGATACATTTAACAAGTAAAAAAAAAAACAATTTCATGCTATAAAATGCTTTGCCAAAAAGTAAAAATGCTTTATAATTCAAAGAAAAGTTGTAAATGATTTTTGAAAAAATGTATTTAAAATTTAGGATACAAAAACTATACAGACAACAAGTGATCTAAGTTTGTTAAATTGTTTTTTTTAATTTAAGTCATTTCACAGTGGACAACAGATTCACTTGGACTTCATAGGGCAGTGTTCTTGAGGAACAGTGTGAACAGAAATCAAGCAATAACACATGACCAAGTTTTACATTTGATGGTGAAAATGATATTTTTGGCAGTCTTAACAAAAATAAAAGTGCTAGATTTCTAATCTGTGTCCTTAGCACCAAATTTAGTTGGTTAAAATTGAGCTTTCATTAAATTTCAATATCTGGAAATGAACATTTGCTTTAATTAATGAAAATGATACATAAGTAATTATTTCCCTTATGTGATAATCCCAATTGAACACACATTACATTTATTATGAAAGTAGTGTGTAAAAACAAATCTGTTATGACAATTGAATAATTTATGCCAGTAATAAAACAGCAGTTGCTTGCTTTCACCTCACCTTCCGTGAACACTTTAAAAACTCGTCAATTTAAAAAAAAAACATAACGTTTAGTTTGACAAGAATGAACAGTTCAAGTAATAGAAAGACTAGTTGAGCCAATGGTTTTATACAGGAGTGCAGCAATAAGATTAGGGTCAATGCAGGATCATGTCTAAAGTTAACCTGACAGGAATATATGATATGGTATAGGGGGTTGTTATTGACCATCCAACAACCCTAACACTAACTCAGTCTATATGTGTGGAGCCAAGGACAATAGAGGACAACACAGGGCATCAAGTACATAGCCTGATTCTTAAAAATTCTTTAACACAATAAATTACATCAACCTTTAGTATATGACCTGCCGAGACTTGGCTGAGGAAACAGGTACTGGTTGTTAAAATCTCAAACATCCACCAGAAATCCACCAAAGTGGAATTCCCAAAGTTGGTGAAGTAGCCAAAATATCTGGCAACAAGAGCAGACACCAATCAGATGGGTCAAACACTGACCCAATGGCTCAGGACAGAGAACTGAGGTTGGCTGGAGAGAAGGGAGATAATGATCTACTATGGCATGACTGTCTACACACCAAATGTGACAAAGATAAAACAATTCAAATAAAATCTCGACTAGCTACCAATAAGTTTAGGCAACATTTTGAAAAAAATAAAGGGATACAACAAAATAATTATATTAAATAACATATTTTTTTTATAACAATTAACTTGAAACATCTCAACCATCTTCACTGGATGATGAGTTTGACCTATGTAAACGGAACTTCCTTCCTTTCAATTTGGCTTTCTTGAACTGTACTTTGCCATTAGAGTTACTCTCCTTTGATGGGGAACAGGAATCTGTGGGTGGGTTATTTATAGAAGGCCCAGCAGTAGCTAGGCTGCTGCCTACAGCTTGATGTGTGGGGGTACAATCTCCTCTACTCAACTCTGATGTCTGGGCAGGATGTGATGTCACTTGCGCAGAGTTCATGCATAGTTTGGACCTCACACTACAAGACGCCTCGCTGCCAGTCGTGTGGGCTCCGTTGGACCTGGAGCACCTGGGCTCACTGTCCTTGGAGCCAGACGCACACTTGGAATTGTTTTTTCTGATGAAAGCCCTGAAAGAGGCGTCAGAGTTGCTTCTGTCTAGAGTCACAGAGGCGAAGGGGTTGCTGGGTGTTTGGCTTTGGGCGGAGTTTGTCTCGGTTTTACTACAAGACGCACGTGGGGAAAGTTTTTGCGATGCTTCTGTACATGAAGACTTTCTTTTAGTATTCACAGAGCTGCTACCTGGACTGGATAAAGGACTAGAATTTGAGGCGGCGGCCTGGTTGCCATGACCACGAGATGATTGGTCAATGTTTATAACGGTGTTAAAATTATCCGGAGCAAAAGCTTGCAGTTCTGGCATAAAATACAAGCCTGAATCCAGAGCTAATGGAATGTTCCTTCTGTTTTGTGATGTCTGGGCACTTGGTGGAGATGGTGGAGTCTCAAGGGTTATAGTCTGTTGGGCCACTTCCTCCTGGGCTTCAGACAGATTGTTGTGGGCCAAGTCTGCGCTCATATGCCCATCATTTGTGTCACTCAGCGCCCGGCTGTTACTGGAGGAATCACTGGCCACCAGATTGTCCACAAAGTTCTCAATGACGTCCACTAATATATTCATGTTTGTGGCGTTGTCCCTCAGGTACTGGTCCCCGCTGTGCTGCAGGTACTCCCTGATCCGCTCAAGTTTTTTGGGATAGGCCGCCCGCTTCAACGCATAGGTTTTCTGTTTACCTTTAGCTATAACCGAGGAGATTTTCTTCCCACTGGGCTGGGAGCCAGAGTTCAAGGCCTTTTCCCTGGAGGTCATGTACCTGGAGTACATGGCGCTGAGAATCTCATCCACTTCACTGTCCGAGTCAGACGAGGTGTCGAGGTCCATGTAGAGAGGACGGGAGGATTCTTCTAACCTGCTGGATGCACTCCCTACAGTGTCGCGGGTGCTACTAGCATCCTCTCCCTCCAGACTCACAGGTGTGTCTGCTACAACATCTGGCAGACTACTACTGGGTTCCGGGCCAACCCTAGGATCGGCCGCCGCCCCCCCACCGGCGTCACTAGGCGAGTTATTGTTGTCGTCGGAACTATTCGTTATATCATCATCCGAGTCAATGTTCTGCTCAATCTCCCGCTGGATGAGGCTGTCAAAGAATGCGATCATGCACGGCTCCTCCTCCGTGCTGCCATGGCTGTAGTCATGTGACAGGAAACTGCCCGCCTGCAGTACCATGTGGATGTACTCCTCGTGGCTGTAGGCGTTTCTCTCCACCTCAGTCACATGACCTGCCTGCTGCACCAGCTCACCTGTACAGTTGGGCACGGAGAATGGACTCCACAGCTACAAGAATAAAATACATCCAATGTTTACAAGTGAAGGGGGAACAGTTGAATAATCAATAAGAATAATAAATATTTGGAAAGGGCTCTAACACAGTGGCTAGCTAGAAAAATGTTAAATTATCTGCAAAGTAGTCAAAATATTTAAAGTGAAAGAAATTATATAATGATCTTCATATTTACTTATAAACAAAGCGATTAAAATATTAATTAATTAAAGAAGACAACTGATCCAATAATATTTGTGTAACTGATAGTAAAAGAAATAAAGACTAACATGAACATTGAGAAATGGTTGCAAATGCTATTATTTTAAGATTCCAAGAAATCATAAATCTACTGAACTTGCCTTCACTTAATTTAGTACTGCCATACAGAAAGTACAGCCTGATAGTTATTAATGACATTTAAACAAAATCCTTTTTACTGGATGAGTCTGTTTCAGGCAAGGGAGATAATAAAAATATTTGAGAGAGAATATAATTTCCAACAACCATCCTGTTAACCAGATGTGTTTCACACTGGATGTAGACTCTTAGTATAAAAAAAATCTTCTTAGCTCAAGTTTATTCTCTGACATTAATAGTGAATCCTATAAACAAGTTTCAGTGGCAGATCTTATAATCCAATAATCAACTACATATAGTGGACCAATCCCCTCAAAAGATATCTGCTGGGATAATGTACAACACTTATGTGATTACCTTGATCAACTTTTCAACTCCTGATGAAATGATGAACTGGTTGTGAGGACAGTAGCGGACTTGATTCACTATAGATCTGTGGCCCTTCAAAACCATGTGGGGATGGCACTGAATATCTGAAATTTTACAAAAGACATTAAATTATGTACCAAATGAATAGCTGAAATTTTGCAAAAGACATAAATGAATATCTGAAATTTTACAAAAGACATTAAATTCCGTATCAAATGATTAGCGTATATAATAATTTAAATATCACTTCACTTATTCCCTTGTAGCCCTGCTGCCGCACCTCTCCATTGTACTTGGTTTTGAGCTAGTCTCTTAATATGGGCCAATACAAGCTCAGCAGGGCTTGCCTTTAAAGGCAGAATAGTACATAATGGGGCTGACATTTATTTTAATGAAAGATTAGCAAAATTTTTTATTGTAACCAATGGATTCAGAGTTCTAACTAAATATTATTTCAATGAAAGAACAGCATAATTTTTTTATTTTAACCAATTGATTCAGAGTTCTAACTAAATATTTCAATGAAGGAGCACATATATTTTTGTATAATTGATCAAGAGTTCCAATCCAATGCAAAAAGTGATTAAAAAAACTGCAGTAACTTACAGCCCTCAGACAAGTTGGTTGGAATCTTCCATAAGTAGATACAGAAGTCATCTGATCCAGACATGACATACTGTGGACAGAAAGATGTATCAGTTGTGTTTATATGAGCTGGGATGTTAACTAAAACTTCAAAGACTTAGCAATCTGTTAAACACTACTAGCTCAGAATTGTCTATATGGAATAAGTATACATACAACTACAATATATTTTATAGTAAGATTTTACTAAAAACATTTTAATTGTTTAAGGATATGCCGTAGAAGTGATCAAATATGCTAATGAAGAAGCTTATTATTTAGAAATATTTCTCATGTACCAAATTAAGGCACAGTAATTTTAGTATCAATTTGTTAAAGTATAAAGTAATGTAACATTAATGTACCAAGTAATGTAACATATATGTCACAAGTAAGGTAACATTAATGTATTATGTATGGTAACAAGTTATATAACATCAATGTAACAAGTAATGTTACATCTAACCTAACATACACCATACCTCATCATGAAGACCAGCAAAGCTGCAGCTCTTTAATGTACAAGCATTGTAGTACGTCTCAAAATCAAACTCATAGATAGGATGCATTTTACCAATGTCGTAAAGAATGGGTGAGGCACGTCGTCGGAGGGATAACAGTCTATCACCTCGACTGTTGAAGCGAACACTCATACAGTTGAGAACATTACTTTTGTAGTTCAGTGACCTGTGGAACAATAAATTAATTTAGTTGTTAGTCATTATTCAAAGTTAAAACATCTGGGGTCTAAAATGTGTTTTGAAGATAAAGATCAAGATACAAGTAGAATAAAGTTAGGGATTGTTTTCCAGACAAAGAAAATGATTAAATTCTGTTTTTCTTACAGCGGCTGAGTTTGTCAGTCAAACACAACTACGTTAAAAATGATTCGTTCATCGTTAGCAAAAAAAATAGTTTCAATCATAGATGGGGTAATGTCTCAGGTATTATCTGTCACAATTTCTACCTAATTGAGATGTTTACATGTCATAAAAAGACAATTGTTCTATTTAATAGATACACAAAACTTTCAGAGGTTTAAACAAATAAACACACCATCTTTCAGTAACTAGTCAATAATAAATAACAACAGTATAGTGTACACAAAGTTCAGTAACAAAATGATTTACTTTAGTGGCATCCTTATATCCCAGAGTCCAATGCCATGTTTAGAGTTGGCTGTGGCCAGCAGTCTGGGGTCTAGTGGGTTAAACATTATAGAGTGCATAGCAGAGTCCTGATTAGCCAACACAAAGGGACCTGGAAAATATAACAAAGGTCTGGGATCTAGTGGGTTAAACATTATAGAGTGCATAGCAGAGTCCTGATTAGCCAACACAAAGGGACCTGGAAAATATAACAAAGGTCTGGGATCTAGTGGGTTAAACATTATAGAGTGCATAGCAGAGTCCTGATTAGCCAACACAAAGGGACCTGGAAAATATAACAAAGGTCTGGGGTCTAGTGGGTTAAACATTATAGAGTGCATAGCAGAGTCCTGATTAGCCAACACAAAGGGACCTGGAAAATATAACAAAGGTCTGGGGTCTAGTGGGTTAAACATTATAGAGTGCATAGCAGAGTCCTGATTAGCCAACACAAAGGGACCTGGAAAATATAACAAAGGTCTGGGATCTAGTGGGTTAAACATTATAGAGTGCATAGCAGAGTCCTGATTAGCCAACACAAAGGGACCTGGAAAATATAACAAAGGTCTGGGATCTAGTGGGTTAAACATTATAGAGTGCATAGCAGAGTCCTGATTAGCCAACACAAAGGGACCTGGAAAATATAACAAAGGTCTGGGGTCTAGTGGGTTAAACATTATAGAGTGCATAGCAGAGTCCTGATTAGCCAACACAAAGGGACCTGGAAAATATAACAAAGGTCTGGGATCTAGTGGGTTAAACATTATAGAGTGCATAGCGGAGTCCTGGTTAGCCAACACAAAGGGACCTGGAAAATATAACAAAGGTCTGGGATCTAGTGGGTTAAACATTATAGAGTGCATAGCAGAGTAATGATTAGCCAACACAAAGGGACCTAGAAAATATAACAAAGGTCTGGGGTCTAGTGGGTTAAACATTATAGAGTGCATAGCAGAGTCCTGATTAGCCAACACAAAGGGACCTGGAAAATATAACAAAGGTCTGGGATCTAGTGGGTTAAACATTATAGAGTGCATAGCAGAGTCCTGGTTAGCCAACACAAAGGGACCTAGAAAATATAACAAAGGTCTGGGATCTAGTGGGTTAAACATTATAGAGTGCATAGCAGAGTCCTGGTTAGCCAACACAGGGACCTGGAAAATATAACAAAGGTCTGGGGTCTAGTGGGTTAAACATTATAGAGTGCATAGCAGAGTCCTGGTTAGCCAACACAAAGGGACCTGGAAAATAAAATAACAAAGGTCTGGGGTCTAGTGGGTTAAACATTATAGAGTGCATAGCAGAGTCCTGGTTAGCCAACACAAAGGGACCTGGAAAATGTAACAAAGGTCTGGGATCTAGTGGGTTAAACATTATAGAGTGCATAGCAGAGTCCTGGTTAGCCAACACAAAGGGACCTGGAAAATATAACAAAGGTCTGGGATCTAGTGGGTTAAACATTATAGAGTGCATAGCAGAGTCCTGGTTAGCCAACACAAAGGGACCTAGAAAATATAACAAAGGTCTGGGATCTAGTGGGTTAAACATTATAGAGTGCATAGCAGAGTCCTGGTTAGCCAACACAGGGACCTGGAAAATATAACAAAGGTCTGGGGTCTAGTGGGTTAAACATTATAGAGTGCATAGCAGAGTCCTGGTTAGCCAACACAAAGGGACCTGGAAAATAAAATAACAAAGGTCTGGGGTCTAGTGGGTTAAACATTATAGAGTGCATAGCAGAGTCCTGGTTAGCCAACACAAAGGGACCTGGAAAATGTAACAAAGGTCTGGGGTCTAGTGGGTTAAACATTATAGAGTGCATAGCAGAGTCCTGGTTAGCCAACACAAAGGGACCTGGAAAATAAAATAACAAAGGTCTGGGGTCTAGTGGGTTAAACATTATAGAGTGCATAGCAGAGTCCTGATTAGCCAACACAAAGGGACCTGGAAAATATAACAAAGGTCTGGGGTCTAGTGGGTTAAACATTATAGAGTGCATAGCAGAGTCCTGGTTAGCCAACACAAAGGGACCTGGAAAATATAACAAAGGTCTGGGATCTAGTGGGTTAAACATTATAGAGTGCATAGCAGAGTCCTGGTTAGCCAACACAAAGGGACCTGGAAAATAAAATAACAAAGGTCTGGGGTCTAGTGGGTTAAACATTATAGAGTGCATAGCAGAGTCCTGATTAGCCAACACAAAGGGACCTGGAAAATATAACAAAGGTCTGGGGTCTAGTGGGTTAAACATTATAGAGTGCATAGCAGAGTCCTGGTTAGCCAACACAAAGGGACCTGGAAAATATAACAAAGGTCTGGGGTCTAGTGGGTTAAACATTATAGAGTGCATAGCAGAGTCCTGGTTAGCCAACACAAAGGGACCTGGAAAATATAACAAAGGTCTGGGATCTAGTGGGTTAAACATTATAGAGTGCATAGCAGAGTCCTGGTTAGCCAACACAAAGGGACCTGGAAAATGTAACAAAGGTCTGAAGTGCTACACATTTCAACTTTGGTTGGTTGACATTAGATGATGGTCATCATTATTTATTTCAAACATGAAGCATCTATCATTACAGTGTTAACTAAGTTGTAGGGCCACATAGATGTAAGTAAGGTTTTTACAGCCTTATAAATTGTATGAGATAAGATATCTTCTACGTTTGTACTCAAGTCACCACCATTCAGAATCCAAAATTATGAGACAATTCTTAAAATAGCGGAAAACTTTTCAGATTTTAGCATAACTATTTTTGAAATATTGGATTGACAGGAAGTTCTTATGCATAAAGGTATGTTTGGTAAGTTTTGTTCTTAGGCTTTACCAATACACCCACCATTATCTAGCAATACACTCACCATTATCTACTGGTAGACGAGTGTCCAGGATTAAGGCTTTCCCATCATCACTGGCTGTAGCAAGGATGGTGGAATTAACAGGGTCTGGAGAAAGGCAGTAGATGGCGTCACTTAACCCGTACACAGCAGTGGACTGACAACTGGGAAACAAAAGATTACATTCATATGTCACATTTCAATAATTTCATTTAGATGTCATATTACATTCAAACGTCATATTACATTCAACAATTTGTTATGAGTGCTCACAAACTGGAGCCATGTCTCAAAGGTTAAGATTGAACTCATTATTTTTTAATGATGAGATACAATCATATAAACAGTTTTGGCTCAAATAGCTTAGAAAAACAACTTACACATTGAAATCGTGAACTATGACTTGTCCATCATTGCCTGTGACATAAAATAAAACAACACAATTAATCAAAGTAGGTATACTAATACTTCAAGACACATTTTAACCCATAACTGGAATGATATTAATTACAAACAACGCAATTATATTTCACAATAATTTTCAGAAAGGCTACCTAAGTTTAAGCTTTGGTTGAGGATTTTTATAGAAAAGAATTTTTTTAAGGCTAAACCAATAAAAATATTACTATACATTGCTGTGTACTTCTGTGATTAGGGTGTACTAATTTTACTGATAACATTCTATCTCTAACTAAACCAAGTCCTAACATGTTGCCTGCCAACCATCCAAGAAGAACCACACAAAAAATCCTCATCACATGCTTACCGCCAGTGGCAACTTTTTTATTATCCACATCAAAACAACAGGAGTTGATATTGCTTATGTGAAGTGTGTCTATCACAGTGGGTTTCTTTTTATTGAAAATTGTCTGAGCAACATTCCAGATAAGAAGACGTCTATCGTCACCACCTAAAAGAAATTGACACAAACTAGGATAACATTATATTTAACAAATTAGCTATTGAAGTGAAGCTTTTCACATTCTAAAAATGTAATGGATTAAAATACTGTCAACAATGTTTAATTATTTTTACACAGCATTATAAACATCCAATCAAGAAGTAGTATTTTGAATTTCCAATCCTAAAAAATTTAATTACCCTAGAAAATTATTATTTATTATTATTAAGTGACAAACATAGTTGTTAAATATGTAGTTATCAAGTAGGGAGATGAAATAAGATTTTAAAATGTACCATTAAAAAATTATATAGGCGCATATTAACCTTCAATTTGTACAATGCCTAAAATGTGCATTTTAGGATCAATTTTTCCCAGCTTTAAAATATTTTTATAGTGTTAGAGTTAGTCTCAATGTTATAGGTAGTTAAGGTAGATCAAACTAAGACAATGTTGTTAATTTCTCAAAGAAGTTAAACAATTAAACTGTTACTGTTAAAAAGTGTTAAGCCTACTAATTTTCCAAACTAAAAAAAACAATCACACCTAATTTGATGAACGCCTACTGAAAGTAATAGCTACTAGAATCTAGATCTACTAGATCTATTTAGATTTGATATTATATTATACAAAGCAGAATATTAATTAGTAATAATTAGACATACTAATTAATTTAATAATTATTAATTAGGGTTAGGGTCACTGAGGAGAGTGAGGAGTAATTTGAGTAATGTTGAGGCTGGGGATTATGTGCATGTCATGTGTCTGGTCTAAAATTTAAATTATTGTGAAATAAAATAATATCTCAATATTTGTACCAGAAGCAATTAGTTCTCCATCACTTGAATACTCAATTGCATTGACGCAACCAAAATGACCACGAAGATCGGTTTTAAATAGGCTCTGCGACAGTGCAGTCCGATGCCCAAACAAGATCTGTTTGGAATTTGTCAGTGATAAGCCCTGCCTTTCACGTTCACGAAGCCCTAGTGGGGTTGGTATAAAATGGTTACGTTTCATATCCATTCTGATATGGTGGTTTATTTTAATCTAATTGATAATACAATTCTCATGAACTAATCAGTAGTAAAATCGATAGATTATTTTCGATCAGCTTCTCTATTTACAAAATATTTCGTTCGGCCATGATGGTTACATTAAAAAGTTCACAACATACAACATTTCTTGTTTCTATATTAATAATGCCCAAATAAAAAGGGTACAAACAAGACAAAGATACATAGGTCTAAACAAAAAATTAGGCTTCCCTATCTATTTTTATTTAGGGTATGAAATACACCATAGATTTACACATATTAAACTGGAGACTTCGAAAACTACGATTGATTAATTTCATAATTCCATAACTGTAAGTCGATGTGTCCGTAATCAGGGACACCCTGCTTTTTCTGTTGACGCCACCTTTCAGGGTCACGAATTTTATGTCACGAAATATATGCATTTTTAAGTCAAATTAGATCAAATGCATATTTACAAATTAAAACAGAAGGCAGTTAGCATATTAGTCTAGAACTTGCCTTCCAGAAGAAGGTCATTGTTTTAAAAGATGTAATAAGTAGTTATAGATCCTTTAAACTATACTTAAAATAAAAAATAAATTAATAGAGGAAATATTAAACGTATAATTATTTCTTATTTGCCATTCGACATTTGATCAGGGTTACTTTCAGACATTTTCCTCCCGGGAGGGGGGGGGGGGGCACTTGACACATCCAGTGGGACGCACGTAAAATATCTCGGGGTGGGGCTGGGTCTGCAGACACTGGCTAAAATAGTTTATATATGTCTATGTAAAATATCTCTTTTCGTTAGGGGGGGGGGGGGGGCGGTACACCCCCCTTTCACCCCTCTCATCCTGAACAGAGGCCCGAAAAAATCCGCTATGATTCTGCTTTGATTGATCGATATGATTCTGATGGTCTAATATTAATCATGTTTTGTCAATGGTGGGAATAAAAATTCTAAATTGACCAAATTAATTATTGAAACATGAAATCGTTAGCCTACTTCAAAGTATCCATGAAAATACAAAAAAAAAATAATAAAAACTAAAAAAAAATCTCCGCTTGCTTCCCTTACACTACAGTTTTATCTCTAGCCACATCGCATCTTCAGATGACCTACATTAATGACATGACGTCAAATTACTGGGCGGGGGGGGGGGGGGGGGTGAATTTTAAAATGACAAGAGGTTGTTCCAAAAACATGACGTTTGAAAAACCAAATTTGCAGCTAAAATTGAGTGTTTAATTCAAATTGTTTAAAAACAGACTTAGGTTGGCCAAATAAATTTCCTTTCGTCCACGTTAAATAAGGCGGATTCAGATATGTTAATATTTGAAAATGTATTTGCTTTCTCTAAGAAGAAAATTAAGTTAGGACTGTTGGGTTGAAGTATGTTACTTGGTGGGGGGTGGGGGGTGTTCTCCTCAGATATTGTAAGCACGGAGTATGAGATTTCATTTCTAAAGGCATCCTAAAGACCTTGAAGACATTTATGAACAATAGAACAATGTAAAAATTATGCTACTAAGCCTTATATGAGGCTCATTAAAGTACTATTAGACAATGAGTTACTAAGATCAAAACATTTGCTGCCAAAACTCTTTGACTTGCTAATTAGCTGCGTTCCGATCAGTAGGCGCGCTGGCCGTGATCGTATAGTGCAGGGGTCTCCAAACTTTTCAGTCCGAGGGCCGCATTAACTATCAAATTTCAGTTCGGGGGCCAGTTTCTTCCAGGCATGTCTTTGATTTTTCTAGGCAAACTTTCTCAGCAATCACCAACAAACGATTTTTCCTTGGACGAAAAAGATCTCCGCGGGCCGGATGAGAGGACTTTGCGGGCCGCATCCGGCCCGCGGGCCGTAGTTTTGGAGACCCCTGGTATAGTGGTTAGTACTTCGCGTTGTGGCCGCGACAACCCAGGTTCGAATCCTGGTCACGGCATATAGCTGTGCTTGTCTCGCACTGCCAAGTCTACTTATTTTTTTAGCTGTCTCCATAATTTATTCTTTTTTTTTTTTTTTTAACTTTCTTACATTATTTCAATAATTCCTTTTTCTTTTTCTTTTGATCTACATAGTTTCTTCTCCTTCAACCTTCTTCTGACCTGACTTTAATTTATTAACTGCTGTCTATTAATTTTGATGAGGTTCGACTTTTTACATTGATTTCAAATATTTAAGCAAGCGTCTTCTCCACCTTCTCATAAACCAATACAGTCGGCCCACATTAGGTTCTAACTTGTTGCACACGATCATCCAATTAAGTTTCCGTATTTGATGCCAAAGGGTCGTCCAGCCCCCTCCCACCCACCCAACCACCACCCACCTCTCGACAAAATTTAAAAAAAAATTATTTACAACTTAAAAAGATTATATATATGCCTTTTAACATTATCTGCCATCAGAAATTTCAAGTCACTTACCTTGAAAATTAATATATTAAAGAAACCTGAACTGACGTCACCAATCCAGTCCCGTCCCCCCACCCCCCCATCCCGGACAATTAATGATTGCAAACAGTTTGTAATCACTAAAATAAAGTCTTAAATGCACCCCCTACTTCCCCCACCCCACACACAATTTCAAGCCCCCCCCCCCCCCCCCCACTTACCAGGATGATTAATATTTTAAAGAACCTGAACTGACGTCCCCTATTCAGTCCACCCCCCCGCCCTCGCCCCCCATCCCGGAAATTAATGATCGCAAACTGTTTGAAATTACTAAAATAAAGTCTTTAATGTACCCCACTCCCCCACCCCACATACAAAAACTAACGTACACAATTAACATAATAAAACACAAAATCTTAAAAAACAAAACTAAATTGGGAAACCAATTAATTAAATAAAACAAAAAAAAATAAGTAGGCTTGGCAGTGCGAGACAGCACAGCTATATGCCGTGACCAGGATTCGAACCTGGGTTGTCGCGGCCACAACGCGAAGTACTACCACTATACGATCACGGCCAGCGCGCCTACATATGTCTTCCACATATCTTTCCACAACTATATTTTAAGTAAACTTGTGTTTGTTTTTTCTTGAATAGTTTCATATAAAGATTATTGTTTGTTTTATTTTTTTTAAGTAGTCCGAATACTTTGTTTCTTTTCTTTTGTTCTTCTAAAATCTAAAATACTGATCTGACTCCGCAGAAGTCTAGATCTAGTAGGCAAGTTTTGTGTGTGGTAATAATTGGCACTACCCACCCAGAAATAAAACTTTATAGAAATTATTTCTTTAATCATTTATTTAATCTATAGACAGACCTATATCTTTAAGATATACTATTACTATGTCATAGCATTAAAACCATCTAAACAGTGATTCTTCCAGACTTTTTTCTCCGGGGGGGGGGGGGGGGGCACTTGAAAATTTCGGGGGGGCGGAGGGGGGGGGGGGGGGGGGGGGGGCGGTAGACTTTCTTCGGGGGGGGGGGGGGGGGGCGGACACTGTTAAAAGTATATATTTTCTATATAAATTATATAAATTTCATTTCATTCGGGGGGGGGGGGGGGGGGGCGGTAGAATTTTTTCAGAGGGCAAAGCCCCACCGAAGAAATGCCTGGAAGAAACTCTGCATCTAAATATGTAGGCTTATCAATTTTAAATTCAACGTTTGGTTGTATTTCTTTAAGTCAACTAGCTTCAGCTAATGATTTGATAGTTTTGTACCCCCCCCCCCCCCCACACACACACCGATTCCAAAAAGTGCTTAAATCACATTTTTACCTGACAAGTGAGCTTCTCAACGTGACCATGTCAAACTGGCAAGTTCAAGGACAAAGTCGGCCAACCACAAGACAACCCAAGTCGGTTGTTCACCTCAAACATCCCCAACCCCAAAATTCCTCCCCCCTCCCCGATCCCAACATCACCCTTATTTCCCCCCACCCATCACCTAACTGAATATGCAATTTGAAATATTGAATATAAATTCCACAAAAGAACAACGTATATTCTCTCTGTCCTTGATGAGATAATCCGTCGCATTCAGCTGTGGATAAAAGCTCCATTGTGTACGGCATTCTACGGCATCTCTTGGCCCAGCAGGCTACTGACAGCCCATTTGAAACGTGTCGTAGATTTTCCAAAAGCTGCGTACTTTAAAAAAAAAACAACGGTATACGTAGGTAACTCTCCGTTATAGAAATTAATTAAAACCTCAGTTCACTCCCTTGTACGCTCGGGTGAGAGATGACGTTCTACACAGCCCGGCCTTTGACCTTTCTTTTGTCGCGTGCATTATTTACACTGGTGATATCCATGTTAAACCAAAACATCGCGAGATGAGGACAAAGCACCGTGAGGTTTGGATTGTTCATTCCGAACGTGTGGTAGGGACCTTCTCACGGTATAATTTTGGGTATATGCGGGTGTTAGGGTGTAGTAGGGGGGGGGGGGGGTTGTGGGTGTGAAGGGGGTTGCGGGTGGGGGAAAGGGAGGTTGCGGGGTGGGGATGGTGGGTTGCGGTGGGGAGTAGGAATGGGATATGGGGGATAGGGGGACGAGGGGTGGTAGTATGGGTAGTTTAGATTATAAATTAATTTGGCTGAAAAAAAATATATTTGCGAATGGGAGGGGGGGGTGTTGACCGTGAACTCCAAGGGAAACAATCCGTGAAAAAAGTTCACTAAAATAATTTTTATTTCTTAATTGTGTATTTTTTCCCACACTTCTTTTCAATTGTTACGTGGAAATCCACACGATTAAATAAATTTATTTTAAACGCTCATCAGTAGTTTACATCTATGAATTCCAAACGACAACCAGCTCATAATGCTCATTGGACTGATCGAGTGATTGCTACTTTATAGTTCTCTCCCTTTAGTCGCTGAACATGATAATATTAAAGTTAACTTTTAAAACATATCAATATTTTTGCTAATACGTCAATAAATAAGAAATAAATCAAAATGGGAGTTACAAGCATATTAAGATGATTAAAAAGAAAATGTTCAGAAGAAGAGAAGCAAACTGAACTTTTCGTTTAAAGTATAAACGTTATTAAAACAGTTTATTTTATATTTAAATTAGCTGAAGGAGTTTAATTTCATCAATTCAAACACACACACACATACACACATACACACACACATACACACATACACACA